TTTTGGGAGGGACTTACATTTTCTCTTTAATGTTTTAATTATAAAGGTTGACTGATAAGTCATTTGAAACAGTCATTTAAAGTTTAGGAACAGACATGATACATTGGAGCTACAGGGTGAACCAAAAAAATCAATTGCCAGTCATATTTTCACCAGGAGACACAAGCTCAAAGCAATGGAACATGAAGCTGCTGTTCAAATCAGTCCTAATAAAGTGTGTGTGTATGAGGAAAAGAAACCCTCCAGTGTAGAAAACGACAAAAGTTTTACACAAGAAAAAAATAGATGATACCAAGCACCAGTTTCAAGGTGAGTGAAGACAATGGCTTCCTTTTTTTCCTCTCTACCAGCTATTTTTCAAACTGTTTATAATTAATAAATCCCAATTTAGAAACAGAAACAAAAGTCCAGTTGAGACATTCGCCGAGCAAATTCAAGTCACTTGGTCATCATCCATGACTGGGCACGGGTGCCCCCACGTGGGGACATGCTGTGGGGCGCTAGAGCGCATCCCCCTCACCACCAAGCCCACTTTAACTGTGTAGCCCCAAACCGCTTTTCACATTACAGCTATGACCGCCGACGAGTGACCCGTGAAAACGGCATCTCCACCCCTGCTCCTGAAAGAGGGCCCGAGACCGCCAGTGGTGCCAGACCCAGCTGGGCAGAGGTGCGTGGCCACAGCTTTTAGCACATTTCACACACCCATGACGTTCTGGAACACCAGTCCCATCTCTACATAGTTTCTGCAGATTAGCCAGGCCAGGTTTTCTTTCTTTCCTAATAAAATTGTAAGAAAAAGGGAGAAGGCAATGGATGCCTTCAGGCCTGGCGGTTTGTCTAGTGAGGCATCTCCTGATAAAACCTAGTATTTCCCTGCCCTCCAGCTATGGTTTCTCCGAGTGAAATGTCAGCACTTGTCAAGTCCTACAGGAAGCTGACACCTTCAGCACAGAAGAGCCACGCTTTGGCCTGCGTCCAGTTGCTTACTCTCTTGCAAGACAGAGTAGCAAATACCATCAGACATTTTCAAAGTAAATAACCTTCACCACAGCTAGAAAACAGAGTGGGTATGCAAGAAGATAAAGAAAACAAGGGAGAAAGATGATTTGTCCCTAGGCTTTTGTAGCAACTACACTGGCTTCAGCTGGATAACAAATTGTCCTGGAATTCCTGGCACTGGAGCAAACATGTTAGCTCCCTGGTTACGCCTTCGTCACTGCTCTCACACTTTAACCTTCCTGCTCTTTCCATAGGCCTGGGCCTGTCCCGTATCCAGGAAACTTTATATGTTGTCTAAACTGACCATCCCAGCAGGCTGCAAGGCAGATGGCAGTCGGGATTCAGAGTGTTGACCACTCCTACCTGGAACCCCACCACCAGCTGTAACTCACCCACCTATGCAGAAATAGGAGCCCAGCCACGTGGTTAACAGCTTTTTTAACTGCTACTCTCAGCGATGAGGAACTTCCCCAACAGACAAGACTCAGTGCGACAACCTTCTTCAAGAAAACTGAAGCAGCAGCAGCGTCAAGTTTTATCTCAGGGGTAATACACAGGTTTAACTAGATACTCAAGCCCCTGATGTTCAGCTAAGGCAGGAGTGACTTCTCACTCCAGGTGTTGCTGGCCCCTGAGGCCTTGGACCTCAGGTCATGAGCCCAGGACAGAGCACCTAGACCCCATACAGGGCTGCCCCGTGTCCGTAGTTCTCAATCAGAGGCTTTATGCTTCCTTTAGGGAGGTAGACAGGACATTCCCTGGCAGCACCTGAGCCAGCACCAATGAGAACATAATGAAAAGAACAAGGTACAGAAGGGAAAGGTACATGCAGAAACCATCTTCACAGGAACAGCTGGTAGTATGGACCACCTCTGCTGAGGGAAACCAGCAGTTGGAGGACTTTTATCTTTGTAGCTTTTCAATTTTGAAACATGTCAATATATAACCTTTAAAACAACTGAAGTTCAAATACAGAATGCTATAATCTTATTGTTACAAAATAAAAAGCTCTATAAATCTGTGTGCCACATGAAGAACATAACATTGTCAACAATGAGTCATTCCTGAGGAAAGGGTATAGGGAGGCAAGGAGACTTTCATATTTTATTTTATATAGTCTGCATTGTTTTGCTCTGGAAATACAGTGCTACTTTCATATCTCTAATTTAAAAAAGAAACATCCTTAAGAACTGCAACCTCACTTGTAACAGGACTCCCTAAACTCTCTCAGCACTTTTCCCTGCCTCACTCAGTCACACTTAGCTTGTGTTTCAACGTGCTGTCTCTGTTGAACATCCGCGCACCCACACCTGCAGCTGCCTGCCACTCTGTTCCACTTTCCAGGGACAGAGCTCTATAGAAAAGAAGTGGTAAGGAATAAAACAGCAGTTGAGGTGTTAACAAAATAAGAACTCAAGCATCAAACGATCAGGGAGCCTCCCTGAGGGCTCAACGGGTTAAGTCTCAGCTCCATGAACCTAATGCCAGCCACTGTATCATGAGTTCCATCCTGGCCAGGAAGGTGACCGACATGGCGCGGCAGACCTCTCCTGTCCCACCCTCTGCTCTCCTCAGCAGTGTATTTCAGTAGATCTGCCTGTTCTGCTCCCCACTCTGTCTCTAGTGAATCCTCTCACACCACCCTCCTCCCTCCACCTCTGGACTACACCCCACATCGTCTATGTAAAAAAGCTGAAGAGTTGGAGTTTTGAAGGAAATGGGAAGCTGTGCTAGAAAAATCAAGTGCTTTGGTGGTGAGGTGGTGTCACCTGAGCAGGTGTGAACCTATTCTCCATATACAAAGCCATAAACATTGTAAACCAATGTTACCATAATTAAAAGAAATAATTCAACTTAAAGGTCATATGAAGTGGTCTGAAAGAAATTCAAAAGAAAACTGAGAAATTCAGAAGTCAAAAAAGATGTCTCCTCAGTTTTAAATTCTGAAAGTGATATGACTTTTCTTGATTGCATTTCAATGATGGTCACACTGATGTGGGTCTATCTGGAGCGGTAATCCAGAAAGGAGGATGCAAAGTCCTTAATTCTCAATTACACTTCCAAAAGCCTTCAACTTGAGAGATTTATTCTCCTGCATAAAACCACCAAAAAGTGGACAAAATGTGTAAAAACTACTTGTTAGAGAAAAGCCACATAGAACAGAGAAGGGAACTTAAGGAACAAAACCAAAAAACCAAAGTCGGGGTGACTCCCCCCAAAATTAAAGCTCTCCAAGAATACAGAAGAGATGTGAAGACAGGGCTAGAACTGGAGTAGTATGAGGAGTGGAGAACTCTATTTTTGGGGGGCTGATGCATGCAGAACCTCTTTAACTTGTGTCTTTCCCTCCCTACATTTGATCTGTGGTCAGGTCTATCAGTTACTTCAAAACACATTCCAAATCCAATCTTTCCTCGCCACCTCCACTGCTACCACCCGAGCCCCAGCCACTCTCAGCTCTCCCCTAGACCACAGCAAGAACCTCCACACCTACCGCTCCCAATCTCACAAGTCCCAATCGTCTCTGTGCCAGCCTGTTCTCCACCTCACAGAGAGACCTCACTTAGCAGAAGAGACAGTCACTTGCTATTGTCTGTGCCCCCAAAGGTAAGCTCCTGGAAGGCGAGGTCTGCTATTTTTGTTCAGTGCTATATTCCCAGAGACTAGATCAGCAACAAGGTGATGGAGGGAGGGATAAAGATATATAATTAGCACCAAATAAATATTTTTTAAAATGTACCACATAAGTATCTATGAACTATGTACCATTATAACTCTTGGAAATAAAATAGCGATTGCACTTGCATCAGTTTGTGGGCCTTCAGGAGGTCCAGGAACTACAAGTCACATCTTCTCTCGTCACCCACTGATGAGTCCATAATGGCCTGTATATAATGCTCACTGAATAAGGAAATATAAAATCACTTTAATGTTACATATGGTGCATAGGACTGGCCTGGCAGAACACGGATGCTTGTGTAACTACTGGTATACAATAGATATTCATAAATAATGTTGGCTAAAAAAATATGACTTTTAACATGGACTTGGTGAATGTGGTGCCAGCTACAAGAAATAGACATGAGTAAGATAATATTTACCCTCAAAGAACTTAGATTTTAGTCTCCACTAGTTTGTGAATAAACACAAGTATCGATAACCTGAGTATGGTGTAATTGTTCTACCAAAAAGAAACATGTGGGAGCACAAGGGAGGAAGTGATCTTTCTTACAATGACTCTTACTCTCATCATGTTCAGGTGGTAAAGGAAGGATTTAAAAAGTGATTCAAACTAAGCCTGTGTGTGAAGAGCTTACCAGATGAGAAAACGCACCTTTAGGCAAAAAGGCAGTCTATGCAAAGGCTTAATGCACATGATCGCCTGCCAGGGTGGCTCCTGGGGAGAATTAACAAAACATGGGAGCATATTCTGACATAAGGTTGAGCAAAGTTATAAAGCACTACTGTTCTTTCTTTCTTTCATTTTTTTTTAAAAGATTTATTTATTTGCACATACAGAACTGGGGTACAGGCGAAAGGTGCAGGACAGTGAGAGGATTCACCAGAGACAAAGTGGGGAGCAGAACAAGCAGATCAAGTGTAACCTACTGATGAGGTGAGCAACAGACAAGACAGAAGAGGTCTGCCATGCCATGTGGGTCACCTCCCTGGCCAGGGATTGCACTCATGTTACAGTGGCCACAGAGAGCTTCGTAGTGCTGTGCTTTAACCCTTTATACCACCAGGAGGGCCCTAAGGCACTTTCTTTTAAGGATGCTTCTAAAAGTTCTGGGAGCCATCTTGCATCTAACTCTACAGCCTGAGTTCGATCCCCAGCCAGGGAGCTGACCCACATGGCGCAGCAGACCTCTCCTGTCTCTCCCGCTGCTCCCCAGCAGTGCATTTCAGTAGATCTTTATTCTGCTACCTACTCTGTCTCTGGTGAATTCTCTCATTCCCTCCATACCTCTGGCCTATACCCCAGTTCTTCTATGAAAAATAAAATCTAATAACAAAATCAGGGAGAGGAAAACAACATACTTCCTCCAGCCTAGGTCGTGAGGAGTTAACGATGCATGCTGCACCCTTCTCTGTTATTTACCACAAGGGAGCTGCTGTCGGCAGCTCTACACAAAGCGTGCCAGTGGCTGCAGTGCAGTGCCATCAGCCTACGCAGTTTCTTCCCTGGTGCAGTTAATGCAGCTTTCTGCCCACAGAGTGAAGGGCTCCTCAACTCTACATTTACATGGTCTGGAGAGAAAAGTGAAGAATCTGATAGACTGGTTGGTCCTCGTTTAAGCCATGACTTAAATGCTATCTCAGTATTAACTCTTTATTTTCTGATTAAAATAGGAAAAAAAAATGAGTAGGGGTAAAGGGCGATAGCAATTATACACTGCTGATACAGACTTTAAATTCTAGTCAGAGTAAAAATCCCTATTAAAGATTAACTGACCTTTCACAAATACCTAGCTACATGGAGTCTGATCAAGGCATACATGAATTGAGTCTCGTTATTACCCTCAATAATACGGGAAAACAATTCTCAACAAAACCGGAGCCTCCAGTTATCAGGTGTTCTGTCAGGCATGTTGGTAGAAGTCTAGAGAAATGGATTCTCTTCATGCCATGTAACAAAGAAAGAAAGCGCCGGAGTGTCGGTGAGAGCAGCTCCTGCCTGGCAGGGCCCCCCACCCATGGCGCCTAGCAGTGGAATCGAGTGGAGAACTTGGGAGACACTGGCACGGTCAAGGGCTGGTCACTTGACTTTAACTCGACACTCTGGTACTTGCGTATTGGCTTTGCCTTGTGCACCTGTAGAGTAAGAAAGATAAAGTTACCACTGATAAGGATGTTAAGCAACTAGTTGTAAATTTTTTCTTCTTAAGAAAATGGTTGAATCATTTTACATATTATCAGCCACTGATTCCAAGAGGAAAAAAAGGAAACACAGTATAATAGAAAAGCACCTGAGTTTTGGAGCCCAAGTAGCTGGGTCCCTCTGTTGTCAAACTTCTCTCTAGTTTGGCTTTTTATTACTCTACTAGCAGAGAAGAAATACATACTAAAACTTTGCAAGAGTACAATCTCAAGCTTACTGAATCTAAATAGTCACCAAAAGCATGGATGAAAAAAGAACCAAGAAAAAAACAATAATCAGGAAGGATTCTAGAAGATGTTGCCCTCCATTCTCCTCAGCAGTTTGAAATCAATCTTCAGTCAAACCCAATTACTAGAGCACTGACTAGTATTAACTGAACTGTGCTTTAGGATGTTGCCATCAGCCTACACTGGAGATAGCTGTAAAAAAGTTCTAGGATGGTGGGGCCCTCCCTGGTGGCGCAGCGGGTTAAAGCACAGTACTGAGAATCTAAAGCCGCTTCCACATGAGTTCGATTCCCGCCTGCCCCGGAGGTGACCACATGGCGTGGCAGACCTCTCCTGGCCCGCCCGCTGCTCCCCTCAGCAGTGTACTTCATAGATCTGCCTGTTCTGCTCCCCACTCTGTCTCTGATGAAGCCTCTCACCACCCCTGAGCCTCTGGCCTGTACCCCAGCTCTGTATGCACAAATAAATAAATAAATCTTTAAAAAAAAAAAAAAAAAGTTCTAGGATGGAGACAAACACAACGGGCAGGTGCCATGAAAACTGGCTACAGAAAAACCAACTTCGGCCTAGAAACAGCTGGTTTTGGAAGTGTGTGTGGAGTGGTCGTTATACTGGGTTTCCCCACCTAATTAACAGACGTTAGCTTGGATTTTGCCCAGAAGCTAATCCTAAATAGTCCTAGAGCCTTCTTAAGGCCAAAGTCTCTTCTGTCAAAGCTGCATCAGTTGCTGGCCTATCATTTTTGCACAAAACCTCAGTAACTTATGTTTTTCAATATACATCCTTGCAATAACCATATGACGTTCCATCGAAGAGTACTACTGCAGAGTGAACAATCTGCTGCCATTCTGGTGAAGGAGTCCTGACTGTCAGCCTTCTTTTTTAATAGCTAGTATCTAAGTCACTATGCTTGCTTCCCATGGAGGGTGAACTGGGCCAACATGCACTGTAACTCTAAGGATCTGAACCAAGTATGAGGAGAGAAGAAAAATCATCACAGAATTCCCACATCCTTCCCTATCTGTATATTCTTGTCTGACTGTAATTCACTGGTTCTTCCTGGGCTTTAAGATAATAAAAATTATTTTTAATTGAATTTCAATAAATTAAAAGCGGTCCTAGGAATGCATCATGTTGCATGGCTATCCGGCATAATGTTCTCCTTATGAAGACTCTTGGAAGAATTTCTGTCTGAATTCAGAAGCAAAGATAAATACATTTGTGGAACAGTGAAGCTTGTTTAGATTTCATGCATATGCTGAATTTGTAGCTGACAGATTGATTCCTAAAAAGGACCAAAATTAGGGCTCAAACTAAGCAGCTACATGGATCACATCTATTTTGTCACTACTGCCTGGTGTGTGTGACTTTCCCCTTCCAGCTGTCTTTGATGGAGGCCACCTTAAGCCCTCTGAGAAAGAGATGAGGTACAGATAACTCCGGTCAGGCGGCATCTGCACAGTTACCAGTTCTTTCCGTAGCCTGGCCAGCTCTTCCTTCTGCTGCTCTTCCTCCTGTTGCCTGGCCTCCTCCAACTGTTGGGCTTTCTTGGCTTCCACCTCAGCCATTTTCTTCTCCAGTTCCTGCCATTCTTTGGCTCTCCTCTCAGTGGCCAGCTGAAAAGGTTCCTGAACTAGAGAACCAGAAAGGCCCTCTGAGTACAGAAACAGAGAAATATTGGTGCACAAGCAGGACTGCATGACCCCAGCCCCCACGGAGCCAACAAGTGGCCCAGAGACACATGGCAACAGAAGGCTGAGTGCAAAAGAACCCCGTTGGGAGAAAGATGGAGTAAACCACATGACAAAAATTTTAGAATTTTAAGCATTGGAAGGGTCTTTGGAAATCATCTTAGGAGAAGAAAAGCAAAACCCATACAGGTGAAGTAGCTTGCTCAAAACTACACAGCAATTTTAAGACAGATATACAAGAAGAATCCCAATTTTCTAAGACTGTTACTCAGGCTTAAGGAATCAAATGTTTTATATCAACTGCAGAAGGAAATTCTGGCTCTCCTCCCCTCTCTTCCTCACTATCTTTGGGTGAGGAAACCTTATAACTGTTGGTAAATGCCTGCTACCGCTGTTCAGGCTCTTGTTCTAATTCAGCAACTCAACATAGCTGTTGGGTTCCACAGAGGCAAGAGATAGGTCACGGGGGAGAAAAGCTAGATCCTCTAAAGGCAAACGTTCCTGGCGGACACAACACCACGAGACACAACTGAGCCAAGGCAGTGCCCCTGGGAAGTCTAACAATTCGGTCCCAACTCCCCAAGAGTATATATAAAATACTACCAGCAATGGGTTTTCTCTCTTTCTTGGGAACAAAAGGCTCCTGGGAGGTGACGTTGTTTGGACGAGCCTTGAAGCAAGTTGCTTCTTTCTGCTGTTTTAGTTCTTCTTCCAGCTATTAAAAAGAAACATAAGTTAGATCAGCAGCTACACAACTTTCCATGGCTACCAGCTCTGTGACTCAGATTCTAATATTTCTGTACCACTGAACCTATAAAGATAGGAGATGATTTATTCTAAACTCAGTTAAAACCTTCTTTATGAATAGATCAGACTGACAACATCTGAACCCACTGAGAACTAGAAAGTATCTTAAGAGATGTTTATAAGGATAATGTTAACATAAAACACAAAATAAACATTATGTACCCCCAGATGTGATCACCTACGAAGTACTCTCCCTTTCTCCAACAAGAAGAATCTAACCAGAATTAAGTCTCTGATCATTCACTTATAAGAAGCAGCAAGGTGTGAATGTTAAATGCAGGCAGTCAACAGAAGGAATAGATGAGATCTTAAAGGCTTCACCCAAGAAATTCTGTCAGTTCTCACATTCCCCAGGTGATATAAAAAAACCTGCAGGTCAAATCCAGTTTTAAGCCTCTATGTGTACATCCCATGAATAAAAAATAGATCTTACACATTTTTAAAAGATTGCAATACATACAGGGCATGTGATAGAAACCAAAAGTAACCTACAAAGCCTAACCTACTTACTATCTGGTCTTTTACAGAAAAGGTTGCTGACCCCTAAGTTAGATTAAAAGCCCCGGAAATAATATAGCACATTAATTCCTAGCTGAATTTGGATGCTGTGGGTCTACTTCCTAACAAATCAACGAAGCAACTAACATCTTAATTGCCCTCCCCACCCCCTACCTGGTGCTTCCAAGTCTGGGCCTTCAGAGCACCTCTTTTGTCCGTCTCCAAGCAGAAAGGTTCTATTTGAGTTGCATTCTTCACCTTTTTCTCTGGCAGGTTAATGGTGTCAAAATGAGGCACAGGAAGTGCCTTGAACTTAGGTATCTAATAGAAAAGTAAACATAAGACGTAAGATAGAGTTCTCTCAACAGAAAATAATAGCTACCTCCAGAATATTTGGATCAATCTGAAAGACAAGAAAATGCCAGTTTTCAAAGCACAGTGCAGCAGAAAGACTAGCAGGTGCAAAAGGAAAGCCAGGGTCTTCCTCCGAACGTTGCCAATAACCGGCAGTGTGCTCGCAGGTCAGCTGCTTAACTTCCTTGTGCAAGGTTATTAAAATTACTTGTCCAATTTACACTTCATAAGGTTTTTAGAAGGATCAAAAGCAGAAAGTGACTTTTTAGTTAAAAATGCAGCATAAAAGATTATCTTTGAGGGATCAAATAGCATTGTGCTACTTGCAGAATGGAAACACCTACCTCCTCCCCTTTCTGCAATTCTTTCATTTTCTTCTCCTTCTGTAACTGACGTTCTTTGTCTCGAGAATCAAAAGAGAAGGGGCATACTTCCACAGTTCTTGTCTCTGGGATTTGGGGCTTAAAAGGCACCCCATAATGTGGCACAGGTTGAGCTTTTATCATTACTGGATCCTCCTCTTCCTAAGGGGGGAAAATTGTAATTTAGAAATAAAAAAAAACTTGCTCTCTCACCTGCTTAGAATATGGAATCAGAAGATATCACATGACATTAATTGAGTAAATCAATTGAGTAAATCAATCTCTTGGATGTTAAACTTTTTCTATCAAAGAGGGATTTACCTAAGTCACCTACCAACTCATGGGGTGAAACAATGTGAAAGTATTTGACAAAGGACCTAAGAATTACTCTTAAAGAATCTAAACTTTTTCACACGAAGGTTGTGAAAATGAAATTAGATCAAACAGTGTGAATAAAATGAAGGGGAAAGAGACTAGCCAAGCATACAATGAGGCCTCTCACGGACGCAGCCTGCAGACTATACTGAACATGTGACTGGGGTTAATGGCTGCCAAACCCAGAATAGGACCAAGCTGTTTGGGTTCAGGCTGTAACATAAGATTACTGTGTATTTCAGTTTCAGATGAACCTATAAAAAGGCTTATGCTTGAGATCTGCTATAAAATTACCATAACTCTGGATATTTATAGATAAAATGGAGATGTAACAAGAAAATAGCCTGATCAATAACAGTTTCTGTGTTACAATTTCATGAACTATCACCATCACCTTCACAACCCTTGAGTTAATGGAGATAGAACAGGGCAGATCTAACTGCTTAGTATAAATTTAAGTCCCTTACTTAATAATGACAATAGCTCAGACAAAATAGAATACAGGGTTTCACAGTTTTAGATCCAGGTTACAAAGTCAGACTGATTCTCAATGCTATAGAAATGGAGAAGGCTTCAGTAAGTTGCGGGCAGTTACCACTGAAATCCAGAAAGTTCATATCCTTAACTTACTACCTTGCTTTTGGATGCTCAACAAAGCTGATCAAATGTTCATACCTCATGGTTAAGGACTCCAGACAAAGAACGATTGCCTTTGAATTTCATTACATTTAAGAGATTAACACATAGATTGATTATGCAGAAAGAAAAATGAAACCCTTCTCAAGGGAAATCACCTCATCTTCTTTGGTAGACATTCGGATTCTGTTCTTCAATGCAAAGGCTGGTGACTTGGGGACAGTGATTGGAAGTACTTTCTTTTCAGGAACACCCTAGAAGGAATCAACTCAATTAGACATCCCAGAACAAACTCCACTAGGGGTAGGTGCTAAGATTAAACCCCTTCCTTAAAGGGAAGCTTATATACCAAGAATAAAAAAGATTAGTATGTATTTCAATATGCTATTATTTACCCAATGAACACAAGGACATAACTGATTGGAATAGCACTACAAAGGTGGATGACCATGCCAGAAGAGCAGCAAATAACACGGAAGAGCTAAAGTTGCATAATCAGTAAAAATATGATTCATCCAAATCTTTTTGGCATAGAGACATTTTATGGGGGTGGAGAGGGGAATGGGATCAAAAACAGTGGGGGGAGGGAAATGCACTGGACTATGGTGATGGCATATGGGTGATTTGGTGATGGGAAGCCCAAGGGGATTGCAACTGAGATGGAAAAATGCACAAAATGATGTAAAAATAAACTATTATATTATTTTTAAAAAATATTTTTGGTATTTATGAAAAATACCACAACAGAAAACAGTATTGTCATCAGTTTTCTGTTGTGCAATAGGTTTAAGAGGTTTGATCCTGAATATATAAGGAAGTCTTGATTTTGTTTTTGAGTAACTAGAGTCATTCCTATTCCACTTTAAGCTTTACAAAGAAAACTTATATTCAAACACATTATATTCAAAAGGCACGTGGAAAAATGTATTTGGCAAAAGCTAGCTTAATTTTCCATTGCCAAATAAGTGGATAAGAACAGGGAATTTACAGAGACATACAAGAAGACATACCTCTGTCTGTACACTCTCTGTGAAAAGCCCTGGAAGCTTGGAAGCACCTAACTCATCTGTTCAAGCCTCCACTGAAGGACCTCCAGTTTTTGGTTTTTTTAAAGATTTATTTATTTATGCATACAAGAACTGGGGTACAGGCCAGAGGTGCAGGGGGTGAGAGAATTCACCAACAACAGAGTGGGAAGCAGAACAGGCAGATCAGCTGAAATACACTGCTGAGGGGAGCAGCAGGTAGATCAAGAGAGGTCTGCGGCACCATGTGGGTCAGCTTCCTGGCTGGGGATCGAACTTGCACTGCAGTGGCTTCGGAGAGCTTCATAGTGCTGTGCTTTAACCCATTGTGCCACCAGGGAGAGCCCAGACTTGCGGTTTTATAAAGCCACAGAACCTATAGCCTACCTTTCTTTTCTTTAGATAGCTCCATCATAACTTATCTAAAACTTTATTGCATTTATCTACTTAGATGTTCATCTCCTACTAGCCTAAGAATTTAGAGTGCGGATGGACTTTTTTATTCCATCAACCCTTAACCTTGGCAACCATAAGGCATTCAGTAAATGTTTATTGAATGAATACAATAAGAATGAGTAACAAGACTTATACCTTGCAATCTTAAGATTGCCAAACACTAATTTATACCTTGGAAGACTTCTCCTTAATCCCAATAAGGCTGCAACAATGCATGTTTGTCTTTCTTGAGGTGGCTTTCAAAGTCAGTTTTGGAGTCATGCAAAGTAATCAATTCTTACTTTTATTAAACAAAATTGTTTCCACCTCTATTGCCTTGGACTACTTAGAAGTTCTACTTTCAACTGACTCTAGACTAGCTCCTAAAAGCAAACTAATCTTTACAATATGGAGACTTGCTATCACTAAAGAGACCCACAAAGACTGCTACAGGACCCCAAACAAGTGGTTTCCCAAAATGCTTCATACAGCATCATTGGCAAGTTTATAACCTCCCAAGGTGACCGTGATGAAAAAGGAACGCCCATTTTGCTGAGAAAGTTCATTTGTTCTCTAAAGAAAGCAAGGGTCATTGGCATAAAATCTAGTATAGCAGAACTTGTAATCAAGAGTGACAATTCACGAAGTTCACCTTCAAGTGCTTATCCTAAAATAACAACAAAAACCTGCTGCTCGACAACAACTTGGACAGACAGCTATCAGTCTCTTGCTGGCACACACTTTGGATGTGGAGTGGAAAGCACAGTGAGCAAGGAGCCGGGGATCTGTTCTAGTTCAGCTCTGCTTCCAATGTGCATAACCCTGTACGTGTTAGGCAGCTTTCGAGGTCTCAGTTTTTTCATAAACTAATGGGAATACAAATTTTAGAATTCATTTAGATCTTAAATAATCTCTTTCCTATTTTTCCCTTCACTTTGCATCCACCCAGCAGAGACATGCGTTCTTTAAAAAAAAGTAATGGGGGCCCTCCCTGGTGGTGCAGCCAGTTAACGCACAGCACTAAGAAGCGAAAATCACTTTCGCAAGAATTCGATCCCTGCCTGCCCCAGAGGTGACCCACATGGCGCGGCAGACCACTCCGACCCACCCCACTGCTCCCCTCAGCAGTGTACCTCGTCAATCTGCCTGTTCTGCTCCCCACTCTGTCTCTGGTGAATCCTCTCACCACCCCTGCACCTCTGGCCTGTACCCCAGTTCTGTATGTACAAATATAAATCTTAAAAAAAAGTAATGGAACTTTCTAATATAGAAGCATGAGAGATAGTCATGAATGGGATCAATCCTTATAATGAGTTTATGAAAATCAGTTTTGAAGCAACAATCTACCCATATCCCATCTCTGTTGCAGTGAAAACCAATGGAAAGTTCAATCAGAAATAAAGGAAACTGGTTCTTAGAAACAGAAGCTCCTCAATGTGCTATTTTAAGTTTTTTTAATTATGAGTTTCTTACAGGCAAAGATATTGCCATTTGCATTCTCCATAGTACCTACTAGAAGACTGTGTAGCAACTGTTCAGTGAACATATGTTGGTTAATATTACTGTCCTTATTTGTTTACATAAGCAATCTGCTCTACCAGACTGTGAAAGCTTTGAGGACAAGGGCTACAGTCTTTTTCCCTCTTTGAATTCCCAGTGTGTAACACCAGCAAGAAACACAGGCTGGTGCATTTCAGTTTATGCTGTCACCCACTTAATCATCCAATATTGGAGTGCCTGTGCTAGGACATAGATGCGCAAAATATAGTTACCACGGTCCTGGCTCTTAAGAGAGCTCACATTCTACTGGAGGAAAAAGGACATGGAAAGGTAAATCAAACAATTCCTGGTTTTCATAAGTGCACTGAAGAAATTTTACAGAGTGTAGAGCCAAACAATCAAACAATGGGTATTGCGGGGTGGGGGGGGGGCGGCAGGAGGGTAAGCTCCAACGGGAAGGTGGCAGAAGGTACCCCTAAGTAGGTGGTGTATAGTTAGACGTGGGCAATGTGAGCAGACAGACGAGGTGTAGGGGAAAAAGCCCAGTATAGAGAGAGGTGTGTTAGGAGGGCCTACTTCCCCCTAAGGCAGGATATGCCCCCAAATGCCCTGGTCAAGCCTGTCTCAGAGAGCTGGGAAATTACTGGGAAGCAATGGTATCTCAGGGAGTATGCCAAAAAATGTCTGCTGGTCTCCCCAAACTCAGCCCTAAAATACTGCTGCTAAAATTAATCACTGGCCTCACTGTCACCACATCCACCTCTGCGGTGCCCCAGCTCCCCACTAGATGTCGGCACCAAGTTCACATTTCACACCCGTGAACTTAAGGTTTTCATCGCTCTGGCTCTGCACCAAGAGCCCTTTTTTCACCTCTGCCTCAGGGCCCACTGCTGCCCAAGCTGATCGCTCATCAGTCCTGTTGTCTATTTGCCACCTACTAACCACAAGTGGGAGAGCAAGAGAAACACTATACGGACACAAGGAAAGAGAGCTTCAGCATTGGGGACACAGATGAGGAACAACAGTGCAGACATACATGCCGCATTCAGGCTCTGGGAGGCAGGCTTTTCTGCTCTGCTACCTGCGTCTAAGATGAAGTGAAGACACCTAATCTCAGTTCTGGTATCGACTTCTAAAAATTTCTATGGGCAAGTCATGTTCCTCTTTCGAAGTCTTCCTTCTAAAAACTGAAGAAGGTATGAAGACAATACAATATGTCTCCTACAGGCTGAGGTGAAATCACTGGAAATTTTAGTAGCGAGAGAAGCAAACAGCATCAAACTTAGAAAAGCACTTGCCAAAATAAACAATTTTAACAGGGTAGAATAATAGTGCTTAAGGAGATGAGAGGTTCAAATCCTGGTTCTGCATAATAATTAGCTTAATTATCTATTTCCTTATCTGAAAAATAGGGACAAAAAAATAGAACCTGCCTCTTCAAAGACATGAGAAATAATAAGAGCATCGAGCTAGAAAAGTACGAGGGAAACACAGTAACATGACAGTTATTACTACTACTAGAGATGCTGCCTGTTGCGTGTTAGAACTACACTAAGCTCTTCACCGGGCTCTCTCTCTTCTGCTATGCACTTAACAAGCCAGAACTCCAGGGGTGGGGCTCAGGAATCTGCTTATGTAATAAGATCACTGGAAGATTCTGAAAGCCAGTGGACATGGCAAATACTTCTCTACAGCACATCTCATTGATTCCATCATACCTTACGTACATACCTAGTGCTCTGCTGAGTGTTTAATCAGAATTCTCAACAATGCATAACCTGCCACATTGCTACCCAAGATCTCACTTAATGCTTAATAAACTCCAGTCACACTTCCCCAGTTACCAGCTCATGCGAGTATTTCCAAGCACAATAAACTATCAAACCAATTTCCTAAGTAAGTGCTTCCAGAAATCAATTTCAGACATGATTAGTGATATATGGGAGAGGATGTTAACTGTTATACATTCTTTTTTAAACAATCACATAAATAAGTTTTGTGTATTAGCTATTACTGTCATTACTCGTGGCAAAAGGTACTGTTTTTCCACGTACATAGTAATTTAAAAGTTCCCTTTAAAATCTTTTTTTATTGTATTATTTTTTACAGAGGTTCTGTTGATTTATGCACTTTGCATGGTTTAGTGTACAGTGAAGCACAGCTTTATGCCTCTTTAGATACATATATTACCCCACACCCACCTTCAAAGCACCCAAACTCCTCCACCATCGTCCATTGGTCCCCCTCCTCCCTGTCCTACCTACCAGTCACCCACTTTGGTAGCCTTAATTTTACAGTCCAACTACACTACTAGTCTATTTCATTTGCTTTTCTGTAAGTCCAAATTCTGGAGGCCATATAATGGAGATACAACAGAATGAAGTATTCAGAACACAAACTCTTGGAATCAGAGTGCCTGAATTTTTATCCTTGCTTTACCATTTATTAGCTGAGAACTTTAGGAATGCTACTTAACCTCACTTGCCTTGTCTAAAACTGGTAAATGCAAGTAATCCACCTCAGTGATTGTAGTCAAAATTGTGAGCTAATATACAAAAAATGGCTAAAAGCAGAGCCTGGCACAGAATGAGAGTTAGCTATTAGGCCAATCATATCCATTACGATGATAACAGTAATAACTACTGTACACTGTCTCAGTGTAGGTCAAGTAGTCCCTCTTCTGTAAAGCATTCCTGAACTTTCTCTCTGGGAGAAGGCATTATCTCCTTTGAATTCCTACAATACTTTTAACTGCCATCTTTCTGAAAACATCTTATGTTTCACGCGCATATTCTTTATCTCCTTCACTGGCCCTTAAGTTGACTGACAGCAAAATTCGCCCTGATAGTCTCTGTAGCGCTCATAGCTCCTAATGTGATGCCTTGACCACACACTCAAAATATTTGTGACTGTGACTATTTGGTCATGAGCAGGACACTTCTGCCAGCTTGCAGTGCCTCAGACATTCTTACCACAACATCTTCTAAGATTTTAGTAGGGCAAGGTCTAGAATGAAATTCAAAATGTTCATCCTCTGATTTCTTCTTTGACTCTCGCTCTTGGATTCTTTTTTCAATTTCCAAATCAAAGCCAATAGGCTGAGTGGGTGGCTTCACAGGTGGCTTTTTAGGCAAGATGGGCCCACTTTCAAGAATTCTGGGATCAAGTTCCCGTGCTTTGAATTTGTATCTGCAAGGTGAGAGTTTAAATGGCAATCACACACACACAATTTTAATGAGAACTACACAAACAATGAAGTAAAAAAACAGAAAAGTAATAATGATTAAAATTACCCATTGTGAAACTTCCACAGCATAATTTGAACTCTCTCCATAGCTAATATTTTTACCTCTAGAGCAAAGAATAAATGAGTCCTAACATTCTCGCCATTTAAGAATGGGGTCTTCTTTTCACAGATAAACTTCCCACTTCTTAAAAGAACAAAAGGATATGGAAGAACAATACAGGAAACAAATTCCAATACTAACCACATTAAGGTCAGTCTTCTCCACCACTAATCACATTAACAATCCCCTGGGTAGACATAAACGGGTGGACATGACCTAACTAACTTCTGAGAACCCTCATTAAGTGGAATTGTAAGCTCTCTCACCCCAACCTCTGTATTAGTTTTTTACCAATTTACACTCCAGGACATCTCCATTATTTCCTACTTTCAGCCCTTTAATCATAAGGATACAACCCACAGAGTCTATAACTCAAATGCCCTCAGTCCCCACAAGAAAAATATTTACTGTCTCTCATAAAACTGTCAAGTAGGCAGGTTCCTGTAGCTCTGCCTCAAATACTGTCGCCAGGACTTACTGTTGCAGTTTTTCCAGCTCTTCGGCCTCCTGATCTGCTGCACTTTTACAGGTCACAGGCCTTGCACGATGTTTGGTTTGCAGCGTGGGGGTCTTCGGGTCTCTGGAGATCTTGGCCACAGTGGGTTTGGAAGGTAACAGTTCTGCAAATGTAGATCACAGACATTCGCCTTACTCCTTACATCCACTTACCTACAGGTGCTGACTTAGATAAGTAGCCCAAAGATGCCAAACTGTGAAGTGGCTGGTCTTCCACTCTCAGCTCAGTTCAACTATCAGTCAACCTGACAAGTCTTCAGTTCCTTGCTCCTATTACTCGTTACTGAGGGTATGAAGAAGATACACTTTGGATAAACTATCAGCTTCTGAACTTAAAATCCATTTGTGTCTTTCTGTTACAATACTAACTATATTGACAAGAGTTTTGTTTATTACAGCTTTAAATGCGAACTTTCTTCTACCTTACCCAAAGCAACATAAAGATTCAAGCAATCCCTATGAAAATTCAATTGGCATTCTTTAAAAAACAAATAAGAGTAAACATTACTGAAACTAAAATAGAGTAAACATTATTGAAACTTACATAAAACCACAAAAGATCTCTATTAGTCAAAGTGATGTTGACAATAAAGAACAGAGGTATCTCACTCCCAGACTTCAAACTAATCTACAGAGATATTGTATTCAAAGCATTATGGTATTGGAATAAAAATATTATAAATATAAAACAATGGGATGGAATTCAGGGACCAGAAAAGACTCACATTTATACGGTCAGTTAATTCACAACAACAAAGGAACCAAGCGTACACAATGGAAAAAGAGCCTCCAATACCTCAAATTGTATTGGCAACACTGGACAGCCATATACAAAAGAATAAAAACTAGAACACTGTCTCACACCATGCAAAAAACTAACTCAGAATGGATAAAAGACTTGGATGTCAGCATGAATTTCTCCATCTTCCACTCCTTACAACTCCCTTCACATTCATAGTACTTACCGTAATTTGTAATGATCTATTTCTCTCAATAAATTAGCAGTTATATTGAGTAGCAACAAGCCCATTGTGTTTACTTCTATACTCCCCCATGCCCAAAACAGCTCCTAGTTTGTGATACAAAAAAGTCTATTCAATCACTGAACAAAAAGCACACAATACTGAATCTTCATATTTTTACAGGAAAGTAACTGCATAATGACAATCTGACACATGGCAAAGACACCTTTATTGTGTAATTGCTTCTCCTTGGTCAATTATTGATCAGAAGGGACAAGATAGTTGATGGGTATAAGTGGACAGGCAATTGGGTGGTTGACAGAAATCTTCAACTATACAGTTATTTTCTACATTTGGGCATATGCCTTACTACAATTTCAAAGGTAGGATTTCAACAAAAAGCTAAGATGTAAGAAGTGGAAATTCTAAGAGACACTCCAATCAGCCACAATATTGGTAAAAAAAAAAACACTTACCAACATCATCCTTCTTGCTCCTCAGATGGTATCTGTTAGGGGTTCGCTTGTGGAAAGCTTCAACTTGCTGTGCAAGGGGCACATATTGAGAAGTTGCTTCTTCGAATGTTCTTTTCTTTCCTTGAGACAGGTTGAAAGGCTTAATAATGGTGCAGCCTCTTGTCACTCGGGCCTGTAAAGAAAATAGTCATTCCCCAAATAAAGTTACAAAAGAGTTTAGATCTATTGTGTCATATATTCAGTAAAGAGGATCAAAAGGAAAAGGGTCTATTTTAAGTCAATATTAAGTTTGTCAGTTCTTGAACAGGGTTACAACTGAATCTGTTTCCATCCTTTTAAAAAAAAGAAAAGATCTAGCACTCAAATGGTTCTAGAATAGACAAGAGGTGATTTTCTACAAGCATGAAATGTTTCAAAATAATGAAGAGCAAGTGTGTTAGAACAAGCTACAGCTAAAGCTACAAAGACATCCCATCTCCTATCCCAGTATGTTTTTTTAATTGGGCTTCTGGGTCTGGGTGGAATCATGCAGCTGCTTGAATCATAATCTCTCCAGATAGCCACAAAACTGACTGATGTTGCTCCCTGCAACATTAACTTTAATAAAACAAAACTCTTCAAGGATCTAAATCTCAAAAAAAGATGCACAGCCTAGGGTTTAAGGCTGTAAAGAACTAAACTCAACAAATGATGATTGCAAATGTAAACAGAGATTCTCAGTATTAAAATTTTTATTTAGACTTGTCACTGTTTTTGTTAGCACTCTGGTACACACTGCACAGGGTTTGTGTGGTCAGCCCCAACCCCACTTCTCCCATATAACTTCTGATATTTTGTACACAACTTTGTAGGCACAAGATTTTCTTGTGGATTTGGTGACAGCACAGACTGTTACTAAGCCTATACCTACAATTTGCTACACATGATTTTATGATTTTATATGCTTCATGTGGATTCTTACTTCAATTTTCAAAACAATTTGGTTCCCAGCAATAGTGATTTATCAAAGAACACAGTTAAAAGAGGCAAACTGAGGATTTAAATCTATCTTAACACAAAAGTGTGTTTCTCTTAATTATACTATTGTAATAAGCAGTAACCACAAATGCTAGATCTGAAAACCTCACTGAATTAGTAACAGGAGTATTCACTGAGTCCATCAACTTACAGGGGATGATGGATGCTTTCGCAGTTCAGATGTAAAATTTACTTCCTTATACTCCTCCTGGTTCTTAGGATGTTGTTTGATACGTTCATCTGTGCGGAAGTGGAAATCAACTGATTTGGTTACCTGGATCACTGGTTTCTTCATGGATTGCCCTGAGTGAGGAGCAGAGTAAAACACAAAGGTTAAACTAAGAATAGAAAGAAGGGCCTCCCTGGTGGGACAGAAGGTTAAATCTCAGAACTATGAAGCTAGGGGCCCTCCCTGGTGGCACAGTGGGTTAAAACACAGCACTGCGAAGCTGTCCACAAGCGTTTCTGTGCTAGTTTGATCCCCACTCCCAGAGGTGATCCACAGGCGTGGCAGACCTCTCCTGTCTGGCCCGCCGCTCCTCTCAGCAATGTATTTCAGTAGATCTGCCTTTTCTGCTCCCTACTCTGTCTCTGACAAATCCTCTCACACCCCTGCACCCCAGTTCTTGTATGCATAAATAAATACATCTTTAAAAAAAAAATAGAAAGTACCAATAAATTCCCCTTATTCCACTACTGCTATTTCTACTATTGTGGAGCTACCTTTATTCTACCTACATCCAATCTAAAACTTGAAACAATCCTCCGGACACTAATGTATGTGCCTTATTCACTGAATATTATTAGGCTTGAAGCCTTTGTCAGATGCAAACTGCAAAGGGAAGAAGAATCATAGCAAAATCTCCCAGCAAAATCATAGTTCTGGAGATAAAACATAGTTGGAATAGTTTTCATAAGAAAAGCTATGAAATGATTTTAAAAGCACACTTAACCATGCATCTCTACGAAGGAACATCTATCAGCTCCATGAGTGCCTTGTCCAACGCAGTAAACAGGGCTTTATAACTTTGACTTTACCAGTAATGATCTAGGCGAGAACAAAGCAGGACCCTTCAGATGGGTCCCTCCAGAGCTACAGCATGAGTTACCTTTGCCCAGCATAAAAAGGGGAAACAAAATGTAAAAACTGGCCTACCCAATTGTTCTACTGTCTCAATCCTAGTTCCTTTCTTCTCGAATACAAAGAAACAAAAAAGGAAAGAGGAATTAATTCTACTTGAAGACATGAGACATCCTCACAGAAAATGATCTCAAAAGCAGCTGAGTGTGACTTCTACAGTCACAGATGGAGAGGAATGGCATGCTCTAAGAAAGGGTCAATGTGTTGTAAAATGTTCTAGAGAGTGATCATTGGAATACAAATGAAACCCATGCTAGCCTTCAAAGTAAGCACATCTTTTTATAACAATTACTGACTAAAAAAAACCTTTTTTTTTTTTTAGCTTCAGTGACTTCAAAAAACTCTACCAGAATAACAAGAAGACTCCTCATAAATCAGACTCAACCAGAGCTATGCTAACCTGCTCCTGCCAGAGCAAATTTCTTGAATTCTTCATTCTTTTTCCGCATCTCTACCACCTCCTGCTGCATTTTCATTCTCTTTTCCAACTCTTGCTCCTCAGTGCTCTTTAGAACCTTCTGCCTGAAGGACACATTCATAAAGGAGATAAGAAACAATAAGAAAAAATAGATTCAATGATTCAAGATAATCTAAGGTCATTATACAGATTATGTTTTTAACCTGGAATAAAATAACCATTAAAACCGAAAAGCTCCATCTAATGATTTAATATTAATTTAATCAGAAACACTACTAAAAAAAAAAAATCAAGATGTACAATTTTACCAAAATGTTTTTCAAGGTTCACAGAAGTGGCAAAACTAAAGCAGATAATACAAAAAAATTAACAAATTTGACTATTTAGTAATTAGCTTCTATGTCTATGTCACAGAAAAACTATAATTAAAATATTAATAGAATGCAAAATCTATTTGTAACAAATATGGCAAAAAGTTATACAAAAAATACATACTGTAATAAAGATCAACTTAGGAGTTCAAATCCCACCCTGGAAATTCATTTTCTTTCTGCCTATAAGATCTTAAGAGAACTATATATGAGTCTCACTTCTATCTTCTGTAAAGCAAGGAATATAATCACTCATCCTCACAGGGTATTTATGCCTATACATCAGTTTGATGGAGATCGGCCCCTCTTAGTGATAAGAGTATCACTAAAATGCTAAATAGAAAAACTGAAAAAGAAACAAACTATTCATCCAAGAAGTATGGTAAAGATGTTTCTGTTAAATAACAGTAACACAATCTTATCACCAAACAAAAATTAAAATAATATGATTCCATCAATACCATATTGATTAAATATGAGAAAATTTTAAAACTGAAAAAAAGCTAATGTACAGGAGACAACAAGGATATAAAAATATTCATTCAAAGCTGAGAGCACTATAAGTTCACCATTAAGTATCAACAGCCATAAAACGAGTCGCAATTTAAAGAATATTATTTTCCTCAGTGTTTAAGACCTGAGTACCCACAGAACATAAACAATTTACTTCACCATGACTTATAGCCTTAGGAGTTCCCCAAACCTCATGTGCACCAAACAGACTGCAGACGTACCCACTTGTGACTTTACTCTATTGACTAAAGTTTAAAGTCAGGGAAGATGAATACCTTACAGGTGGTGCACACGTCATAGTGTGTCTACCTTTGGTTTTCTCTGGGGAGGATTCATTCTTTTCAGAATTATCTTGATGAGTATGACCTTCTTCCTCTGGCTTCTTTTTATTGTTAGAACTTGAGTCAAAAAGACAAAAAAATAGCCTCTTAATTTTCTAAAGTATACCCTGGACACCCTAGTCCCTATTCCAGCAAACACAGCTTACGCTTTCTCATTCTCTAGGACAGCAAACACGCTTCAACCACAAGAGTCTTCCAGTACATTATCAGATCATATATGCCAATGGCTACAAGTAAATTTTGAGAAGTCAAAGTAAGATTTGTCAGGTAATGAATGGTTCAGGAAGGTGAAAGGGATTCCAACTGCATATTATCAAATGAACAAATGGCAGGCAGTTGGTTGCTTTACCAATATCTATTTTATTTTCTTTCTTACTAATGAAGTCCCAATTTTGTTTGGGACAACAACGTATGAAGACAAAAGTATTGTACTTGCTTTAAGAGTCTCTATTCCAACTAAGGAAGGGTCCAAATAATAGTTTGGGTGACTCAGATATAAGTTAAGTGATTCTAGAAAACACTTCATTTTGCTGATATGTGTGCTGCCCCCTTCCTTTGCCGGGCGCTCCTTCTTTATCTCTTGAACAGGGTGAGGTCCCAAGGTATCCAGATATAACAAGGACACAACAAGCACAAGGAAGAAACTAAAAAACACAGAGCAGCCATCTTAAGTAACAGGTGTGGGGTAAAACGCTAAAGATCACCGAGACACTGTCCTGGCATTGTTCAGTCAACTGAACCAGGGCCACAGCAGACTACTTTCAGACTTCCATGCAGTAAATCACCATTCTCTAAACCACTCCAGCTGAACAGGCAATAGTTAAAGCAAAATAATTCTGAACTGATAAAAATACAAACAAGTACCATGTATTCTGTACACATGATAAAACAAGACAGATGCAAAACCTATGCCAAATGAGCAGCTTCAACTACTTACACTTTCATCTTTTTGGAGGGTGGAATTTCATGAATGACCACAGGAGTAGCACATCTCTTAGCATTCATTTTTACATGGTGTTTCCCATCCTGTTCCAAATCCTTCTGAGCAGACAGTCTAACAGATCTTCTATGGTAGAAGAATTGACAAAAGTTATCCATAACAAATGTCTACTACAGATAAACAAACGACAAATGTTCCTCTGAAAGTGCAGCAGACTGGCAGCTTCTCGTCCAGAGACTGCCGACCTGTGTCTACTCTTTTTTTCCTTCTCCATTTCCTAGTAAGCCTATACTTCGAAAAATGTTTTAAAAAAAAAAGTATATCAAACTACAAAGGGCTATAACAAGTCTAGTGGTAGTATTTTCAACCTAAAACTTTAATCTCTATATATCTAACTGGTAGTTTTTAAAATTTAATCATAAGATATTGATACTTAACTGCATTCATGTTTATAAATTAAACCTCGATAAAGGTGATTTTTTTAAAGACACTGTCTATCATCTAGTACAACTCCCCACTTTTGTAGGTAAAAGTCAAAAAAGATGAGGTGACTGACCCTGCCTCATAGTAGTTTGCTACAGACTTGAAATTAGAGGTCTCCTGGAAATTGACAAAGCTATTTATTTTCACCTTTTTCTTTCAGCTATATCCCTTTTTTGTTAGAATATAACACAGACCAAAAGGTGCACAAAACAAAAACTCAGTTAAATGACCACAAAGTGAAGACTAATGAAATCACCACCTTGGTGAAGAAATAGGACACTGGCATCAGCTACCAATTGGCCTTCACTGTACTCAATACTTCCTATCACTTTACCTATAAACATACATTCCATAAGCATGGTATGTTCTTTGGAAAGAACAGATACACACACACACACACACACAAATGAAAAAAACACTAAAATATAGCCAGACTACCACAAATTGTTTTATTCTGGTGTATGTGTGGGGGTAGGGGTGCCTAGTTCATTTCATTCATCATTCTGTTAGTGAAATTCAACCACATTAATCTCAAAGCTCTAATTCACACTGACTTTCAATGTTATGTAGCATTCATTGCAGAAATGTACCACCATTTGTCTATTTCCTATCGATTTTCATGTTTCTTGGTACACACGTGCACATGTATGTTAAACTTTGACGCTGGTAGGTCACTGGTCCTGTTTTCAAAAATGGCAAGTTTAACAATGGCAAGTTTATGAGTCTGTATTGTTCTATATCCTAATGAATTTGATATTATCAGCAAGTTTAATTTTTTTTTTTAAAGATTTATTTATTTGTGCATACAGAACTGGGGTACAGGCCAGAGGCTCAGAGGCGGTGAGAGGCTTCACCAGAGACAGAGCAGGGAACAGAACAGGCAGATTGACGAAGTACACTGCTGAAGGGAGCAGCGGGCGGGTCAGGAGAGGTCTGCCACACCATGTGGTCGCCTCTGGGGCAGGCGGGAATTGAACTCATGCAGAAGCGGCTTTTTAGATTTTCAGTGCTGTGCTTTAACCCGCTGCGCCACCAGGGAGGGCCCTCAGCAAGCTTAATTTTAACCATACTGGTTGTATGTAGAATTTCAATGGGGTTTTAATTTGCTCTTCTGTGATACCAGCAAACTGAGCAATTTTTCATGTAGTTATTGCTCACGTGGTTATCCTCTTTCAAAAAGTGCTCATTCAAATCTCTCTTTTCTCTACTGGAAGAAAAGCACAAGTTTCCTCAGGATAACTGGTGCTCTCATATGTAAAACCCAAGGAGTTTTATTGCGTAAAGCAGTTTTATTGGAAACTAGCCAATCACAATATATTCTCTCAAACTTTAAATGGGAATATGCCAAGAAACCAGACTAAAAAGTAGTGGCTATGTACGGAAGTACAGCAATGGACCATAATCACATAAAAATGTGATAAACATCATTATTTATTAGAAAAATAAAAATCAAAGATAGCAACATAATCATCATTTAAAAGATAGGCAGTGCCTGCTGGTGGGAATGCAAACTAGTACAACCACTATGGAAAACTGGAGGTTCCTCAAACTGCTGAACATGGAGCTTCCCTACGACCCAGCAATCCCACTCCTACATATCTACCCAAAAGACACAAAAACACTGATTCAAAAAGATACCTGCACCCCCATGTTTATTGCTGCTTTATTTACAATTGGAAAAACATGGAAGCAGCCCAAATGCCCAAAAGTAGATGACTAGATTAAAAAGATGTGGTACATATATACAATGGAATATTACTCAGCAACCAAAAAAGAAAAACACATGTTTTTTGCAGCAACTTGGATGCAGCTGGAAAAGATCATGCTTAGTGAGAGAAGCCAGAAAAAGAAAGAAAAATACCAGATGGTTTCACTCATAGCAGGAGTATAATGGACCAGGCGAGAAAATAACAAAATAATGAACAACCATATGCCAGAGACATTTTGCGGGGGTGGAGTGGGGAATAGGATCAAAAACGGGGGGGGGAGGAAAGGGAGGGAAATGCACGGGATTATGGTGATGGCACACAGGTGACTTGACTTGGTGATGGGAAACCCGCGGGGATTACAATTGAGATGGGGGATAAAATGTACAAAATGATGTAAAAATAAACTGTTATTAAAAAGCAAAAATAAATTTTTTTTTTTTAAAAAAAGATAGGCAGTGCCAAGTGTTGGCTAAGATATGAAACAACATAGACTCTCATACTATACAATCAGCAGGCAAGTAAGAAGGTAGTGACTTTGGAAAACATTCCTGGCTTTTTCTTATAAACATATACTTAACAGTATGGCCCTGTAATTCCACTCCTAGGTATTTACTCAAGAGAAACACACATCTACAAAAACTATTCATAGCAGGCAAAACTAATGTATGCTGATAGAAGTCAGAATAGTTGTCTCTGGGTGGAAGCTGGGAGAATGAGAAAGTAGATAGTAAGGATTAACTAAAAAAGGATCATATGAGGAAACCTCCTGAGATGATGGGGATGTTTTACTCATTCTAATTGTGGTGCTATCGAGGTATATATTTGTTAATTTTTTAAATGTACTGAGAATAAAACTTAGTAAAAAAGAAGGTAAAGCACATGAAGACATGACCATTTGGTCATTCCTTAAATTCAACTATAATGATACATGTAAGTCCAGAAAAATTTTGGGTGGCTTTACAAAGATATGCTAGGGGACTAGATTCCAAAAATTAAAACACCTATTTATGATAAAGCAATACCTCCATGGAGAAATTATTGTGTCAAAGGAGTCTGGGTTACCTGTTGGTCTATCCATCAAAACCATGTGAAAATAAAATAGTAGGGAACTTGGGGCCTCCCTGGTGGTAGAAGGGGTCAAAGGGCAGCACTAGGAAGCTACCTGCAGCCACTACAGCACTAGTTCCATCCCCAGCCAGAGAGGACCCACATGTTGCAGCAGACCTCTCCTGCCTGCCCACTACTTGCCCTCAGCAGTTCATTTCAGTTAATCTGCCTGTTCTGCTCCTTACTCTGTCTCTGGGGAATCCTCTCACCCCCCGAACCTCTGACCTGTACCCCAGTTCTTATATGCATAAATAAATAAACCTCTAAAAAGAAATAAAATAGTAGGGAACTGGTACAATTATATACACTTTCCTATTCATCTGCTCTTCCTTTCTAAATTAGGCATCTCTGAACTATGATAAATATGAGATAAGTAGCAATAATACTTTTCCTCATGTGTTTTCAAAATGCGGTATCATTTACAAAGCACTGTCATATAATATCTAATTTGCCCTTCCTAATATTAAGACTGAGATAAATGATTATTTTCAGTAAAATGTGGTTTTCAAGTTGGTAGAGTTATCTGCCTTAAAACAAAACAAAAGCTATTCAGAAAACAAAAGCTATTCAGATCTTCTTGACTATGGGAGCAGATGACTTTCTGTCATTATTTAGCTTACTGAGATTTCATGGAACTTTTTATTAAACTGGGCTTCTTTACCAGAACAGATTAAGGTAGCCCTACATGATACCATCCTTAAAGAGGTCCCTTTGCCAGCATGAGGCTTCACGAAAGGTAATTTCATTACTTCTAAGCAACAACATTATATTCTGCCACTTGATTATAGCCTAAGTGACAAAAAATTATAAAGAATAAATGGCCCCAAAATTTAAACTCTATGAGTAAATGCTAATTACTAGATGGTGAACGTTTAAAAAAAAAATTTAAGTTGAATAGACAGTTTTGATTAGTGCTAATCACTAATCAAAATATTAAGATAACTAATATTAAGAGTAACAGCTCTCCAACAGGGTCTTTTTGTATTAAAAAAAAAAAAGGAGGCCCTCCCTGGTGGCGCAGCGGGTTAAAGCGCAGCACTGAGAATCTGAAGCCACTTCCGCATGAG